ATATATATATATATATATACAGCATTTTTCAGTAACTCGGCTAACTTACTATCTATGTAGAGGGACAGCCGCTTTTTGTTTTGTTTGGAACTTGGCCAAGACGGTCACCGTTTCAGAACATCACATCCCTATGGTCTGTGGGTGGCCAGTTTCACCGCATGCCCTGTGTTATGTGTGTGTGTTTGTAGCTGTGGTTTTATAAAAAGAGGCCAAGCATCTGCCAGCTTTAGGTGTTTATGCATAATATATTCACATATTATTTTATCACTAAATGCTTTCCCTTATTTTTTGTATTTATTTTTTGCTTAGGATATTATATTGACATTAACGTTTTCCCTATGTAGCTTTTGCAATGTATGAATTTCATTGCAGGATAATTATTGCAAGAGTAACTGAGTGTGACCGAGCTCAGATCTTTCCTTTGAAATGCAGTCCAAGCCCTTGCTCAGCCTGCAGGTTGTCATAAGCAGCCCTGCTATTGAAAAGCTCTGCCCCTTGGACCAGGAATTTAACTCAGTGGTTTCGCCGCCTCCTGCGCAAGCGCAAGGACCCAAGTTCGATCCCCGGCACCCACCCCCCAAAAAAGGCTCTGCCCCTGCTCCCAACTCCAGCCAAAGACTCCGGATGTCAGCACTGTCTCTCCGGGCTTGGTACAGGCTGTTCTCTGCCTGCAACTCCTTCATCCTCTCCCTCCAACACCCAAGGAACCCCCGCTCCTCAAACCATTCTTCACTTCCACCTGCAGTCCCACTTGCAGTACTTCATTTTCTCTAAATGACTCATTTCTCATAAACAAACTGATCTTTTCCAGGAAAAGTTTGTGTCACTATCATAAATAGGAAACCTGTTTGAATAACCTTAAAAATAAAGCAACCATAAAAATAAATATAAGGGAAATGAACGTTATTATCTTGTATTTAGATATAATTGTCACCAGACGCCAAAGCCACCTGCGGATAGAGGAGGAATTAAGATGTGTTAAAAACGTGTTAGCAACCGAGTTGAGAGTTTTCTTCCTTGATATACTTCAAGGCTTTAAAGAAAATTGAAGAGAAGCCGGGTGTGGTGGTGCACGCCTGTAATCCCAGCACTCAGGAAGGCTGAGGCAGGAGGATCACTGTGAGTTCGAGGTCAGCCTGGGTTATATAGTGAGTTCAGGGCCAGCTTGAACTGCAAAGGGAGACCCTGCCTCAAAAAAAAAAAAACCCAGAAAAATAAAAGAAATCTGAAGAGAGAGTAACTGTCTCTTTTGGTGTAATTGAATGCTGTCCTCCTTCTTCCTAAAGTCACCTGCATGTCACTGCAAGCCAATCTGTTTGTTGCCAACGTTTATCAAGCAGCCTCGATGGACCAGGCAGCGAAGCTCAAAGCACGCAATAACACGGCGAAGTAAACGCAGACTTTGCCCTACAGACCCAGGGAGGGTCTGGAGGAAAAACACAAGGGATCTGGGAAGGACTATAAAACGCCATCGCTTATGAACACCATAAGGGATCCTGGTGGGTTAGAGCCTCTTGCCTCTCCAGCATCCCAGAGAAACCATACCCATTCGTAAATTGTGAGACATTCGGGAGCAAATTAATTTTGAAACTGTGGTTTATGATCTTTTCAGTTTTCACAGGGGACACGGTAGGAGGTGGATGGATCTGCATATATCTGATGTGCTGTGACGTGGGACCGCTGAAGTAACGTTTTAAAACACAGCAGCGAGGGGAGCGCGCGCGGCATGGCGCGGAATGGCGCGGAATGAGCCTGGGTTCATTCACCTCCAGGACTCTCCCACACTTTTGCCTGATTCATCCCTCGCGGCTCCTGGTGCTGCTCGGCCTCACCGCCGCCAGAAAGCCCGCAGGGCCCGCCCGCGCCTCCTCTGTTGGCCTCAAAGCCCAGGTGCTTCCCCAAGAATCCGCCGATCCGACTGTCTTGCAGATTGGCCCGGGTGCTGCCCCAGCATCTGCACCTGGCCTGCTCCTCAGCCTCCCAGGGGATCCAGCTCTGCGCAGCCCACTAGGACTGGGGGCGACAGCGGTGGCCTGCTTCTCCGGTGGGGCCCAGCTCTCGTTAAGCCGGGTGCTGGGGCTCTGCGAGGCGCCCTCGATGGGCCCTGACGTTAGGGGGCGCGAGCGCGGCTCTGGCAGCGCCTAGGAGCTGGCGAAGCTGAAGGAGCGGAGGCCAAGTCCGCAGCCGCGCTCTCGGCGGAGGGGTGGGGGCGGGGCGGGGCGGGGCGCTCCCTTCCCCTCCCCCGGCCCACTGATGTCGCGGACCGACACCGCCTTGCAGGGGCCGGGGGCTGCGGAGAGGGGCGGCAGTGAGACCTGGGGAGCTGCCCCAACCCTCAGCAGGCGGGGCCAGGGGACCCTAAATTAGGGCCTGGAAGGACGCCTGAGCCGGGAGAGAGGGGGGAATGGGGACTAGGGTGAAAGCGGGCGAGGGATGCAGTCCCCGCCCCGGGGGCGGAGCCAAAGCTCAAGCCTGCGGCTGGAGAGACCCGCGGAAATCCGTCCCGGCTCCCTGCCCTTCTCCCGGGATTGAGGACGCAGCCCGCACCCCCCGCCCTCCGGCTCCGCCAGGGCGCAGATGCGATCTCCGCACCCCGCTGCCACCCGGGAGCTTTCGGCGGCGGCGACCATGGCGCGAGGAGACGCCCCGCGGGACAGGTGAGTCGGGCCGGCGCGGTGCGCCTTGGGGGACTCTGCCTGGCTCGGCCGATGCTCCGGGGCACGAAGAACTGCTGCACTACAATTCCCATCAGCCGGCTCCCTCGGCTGTCGAGCCCTGGTGCTGGAGGTTGTAGTCCGCCCTCCCGAGGGGCCGCTGGGGAGGTGGGAGGGGCGGCCCAGGCGGGCGTCCTCCGGGTGACCTTCTGACTGATCCCACAGCTACCACCTGGTCGGGATCAGCTTCTTCATCCTGGGACTGGGCACCCTCCTTCCCTGGAACTTCTTCATCACCGCCATCCCGGTGAGGCTCGCCGCAGACTGACAGCCCATGGCCGCAACCACCCTCCATCCCTCCCTCGGCCCTGGACTGAGGCTCGCCAGGCGCGTTCCCCACCACGCCGCCTTTGACTCCTCTGTGCGCCCATTTGTCGGCTGAAGCAAGGAGCCTCAGAGAGGGAAATGTCTTTCTCCTGGCCTGGAAAGCCCACATCTCAGAGGGGAAAGGCCAGCCCCTCGAGGGGTCTGTGACCCTCAAAGGATCTATCCACCCACCTCCTCAGTTTGTCCTTATTTCTGGGCCAGTCACTCCAAAAGTGATTTATACACACCTTTGGTTTTCTTTGCAATAGCATGAATTGCATTCATTCATTCATTCATTCATTCAACAAACATTTAATGTCCAACTGCTTTGGACCAGGCACTGAGGATATGGAGAAACCATAACAGGGACGTTAGACACCCACCCATCCTTTTTAAGAAACTTAACCTTACTCAGGAAGGGCTATGAAAAACCGGAAGTGCGGATTGTACATTATCTTCAGGACTAGGTTATTTATATGTCTTTAGTGGGACAACTTTCTAGATGTCTCTGGAATGCCTGGCTCTATGCTGGGCCCTGGCGCCCAAAGATGAATCAGCTCCTGATCTTGAAAAAAATATGGGACCAAAGTTATTAATAATGTAACATGGCAGCTGGGTGTAGTGGCACAGGCCTGCAGAGGCTGAGGCAGGAGGGTTGAAAGTTCAACCTCAGCCTGGGCAACTTAGTGAAACCCTGTCTCAGAATTTTAAAATAATAAATAACTTTTTTTTTTAAGGACTGGGATGTAGATCAGTGCAAATGCCCTGGGTTCATTCCCCAATTCAGGGGTTGGGGGTGCCGTCTCTTAGTTTTCAGAGTGCTGTGGGTCACCAGGAGAACATTCCTTCTGCTTCATAAAAGAGATTTGGGGTTGGATATGTGATTCCAGTTTTGGTTTTGGTTTTTTGAGGCAGGCTTGCCGTTTTGTCCAGGCTGTCCTTGAACTCACTATGTAACCCAAGTTGGACTCAAATTTGCAGTCCTCCTGCCTCAGCTTCCCCAGAGCTGGGATTAAGAGCATGCACTTCTCTTGTAGAAGAGATTTAAAAATTGGGTGGGCAAAATGTATGTGGGGACTAGGAGGGTGGTAGGAGGGGAGAGGGCATTCCAGGTGAAGGCAAAAGACTATTCAGAAAAAGCCCCAAAGCCTGCAGTGCCTAAAGTTTAGCAGAACAAAACAAAGGACAGAGCACAAAAGAGAGGCTGGGATTCTGATTCTGAAGGCTCTCAAATGCTGTTCCTAAAACCTGGGGCTTAGTGGGGTACAGTGGTGTACACCTGTACTCCCAGCTACAGAGGCAGGGGGTTGCAAGGTCCAGACCAGACTCAGCAACTTATCAAGGGCCTGTCTCAAAACAAAACAAAGAAAGGGCTAAAGAGCTGGGAGTACTGCTTAGTGGCAGAGCACTTGCTTAGCATGCATGCAGCCCTGGGTCCAATTCCTACTACTGTAAAATAAAACAAAAAACCCTTGGGGCTCTGCCCTGCAAGCAATGATAGAGAAGTGTGGGTGGAAGGTGGGAAAGGGTTAAGCAGGAAAATGACAGGATATGTTCCAAAAAGAATGCAGTGGCCCAGCACCTAAACCAGAACCTGGCTTACAGCTGGTGTTCTTAAATACCCATAGAATGCATAATCTAGAGGCTCTGCAGGAGTGAGGGTACGGGCTGCATCCAGGGCCTTGAAGAGAAGGGGTATAGCAAGGCCCGAGCAGAGAGGTTCCTAGGGCTTGGGCTCTGTCCCAGACTTCCACCATTCAATTCAGTGCACATCCAGGGAGCTCCGACTATGTGCCAGGGGCTGGGAACAGTGCAAGGACAAAGCACCCAAACGAAGCCAAGCAATCACAGCATGGGGGAGGGGCATGAAGGGAGATTCCTGATGCTACACTGCCTCCCCTCTGACAGTACTTCCAGACACGCCTGGCCCGGGTCAACATCACAGCCGAGACCCTGAGCTCCAACCACACAGGCCCCACAGACACCTTCAGCTTCAACAACTGGGTGACGCTGCTCTCCCAGCTGCCCCTGCTACTCTTCACCCTCCTCAACTCCTTCCTGTACCAGTGGTGAGACCCTGCCCCAGGCCATCCACTCCCTGCCCTTGGCAGAACCTCTTGCTTGCCTGGCCCAGGCCTCTCAGATGCCCTCTGCCCCCTTCCAAGCAGCATCCCTGAGGCGGTGCGCATTCTGGGCAGCCTGCTGGCCATACTCCTGCTCTTTGCCCTGACAGCAGTGTTGGTCAAGGTGGACGTGAGCCCTGGACCCTTCTTTTCCATCACCATGGCCTCCGTCTGGTTCATCAACTGTGAGCACTTCTCCCCTCCTTCCCCAACCCCTTCACTTGGAACTCACAGGGGCCAGGAAGGAAAGACCAGCTCTGTCACCCAGATCCCTGATGAAGAAACTGAGGCCCAGGAGACTGGAAAAGTCACCTGCCTCAGGCCCCATAGTGACCGAGGAGCAGCCTCCCAGCCCCTACCACTATAGACCAAGGGCTGGGGTGAAGCATCAGAATGCCCGGGGTCCCTGGGAAAGCTCAGTCCTGCCCACTGAGTCCGGAGTTGCCTGCCAAGGCCTCCTCCAGAATGCTGCTGAGGCTACCAGCTTGAGTGGCAGCCCCATGCCTTTCTCTCCACAGCCTTCTGCGCAGTGCTGCAGGGTAGCCTCTTCGGGCAGCTGGGCACCATGCCATCCACCTACAGTACCGTCTTTCTCAGTGGCCAGGGCCTGGCTGGGATCTTTGCTGCCCTAGCCATGCTCATGTCCATGGCAAGTGAGTGGACTTGGAGGGCTGGGGTGGCCTCTGGAGTTTGGAGGAACTGAGGATGTGTAAGAAGAAGATGCCTGGGTGGAGGCAGGGTGATGGGGAAGAGGCCATTGGGTTTGGGTCTGGGGAGTGGGCTCTTGGACCCTGCAATGAGAGAATGACCAGGTGAGGGCTGGGTTAACTTAATTAACTTAGGGGTAGGATTCCTGGGGGTAACATCAGTCTGTGCCAGCAGGTTGAAGGAGAGGGGGTAGGTCTGAGATTCAGGTAGATGAATTTGACTGTCTCACCTTTTACTAGCTGGGATCATTGGACAAGACATTTAACCTCTCTGTACCATGGCTGCCCCATGTAAATGATAATTATAGCTCCCCGCTCAGGTTGTAATGGGCCTGCATGCAATAAGAGAAAGCTTGTGGCACATAGGAAAAAGTAGAAGATGGGAAGGGCTGTTCCCTGGGCCCTGTGTAAGACTCCTGAGTTTGTCTGTGAAGGAAGGAGGGGAAGCTGGGAGGTGGATCTGAGAAATATACTATAGGAAGTAGGACAGTAGTTAAAGGCCCCATGGGACTAGCCACTTCTCTGCAGCTGAAGTTTCTATCACAGGTGGTGTGGATGCCCAGACCTCTGCCCTGGGGTACTTCATCACACCCTGTGTGGGCATCCTCATGTCCATCGTGTGTTACCTGAGCCTGCCCCACCTGGTGAGCCTGCTATTGGGCTGGAGGCCCTGCCTCAGGGCATCTCAGATGGAGCTCTGAGTGAGGCCCCAAGAGAGGACAGGGGAGGTAGAAGAGATGTGTATTCAGCCAGATTTCCCCAAAGGAGTTAGCAACCAGGGAACCCCAGCTTTCAAGCCAATAGTGTGGGGAGGGATCCAGAGACCCTCACCTCAGGCAGAGCCAACACTTCCTGATCCTTCTGCAGGAGTTTGCCCGCTACTACCTGACCAAGAAATCCTCACAGGTCCCAGCTCAGGAACTGGAGACCAAAGCTGAGCTCCTTCAGTCTGGTAAGCCCTGGGACCTGCAGGGGAGGTGGGAGTCACAGAGGAAGCATGAGCCAGCTTTCCTGGAAAGCATTCTCCTCTGTCCTCACCCAAAGCCCCACCCCTAGGAGCCTTGTGTGAACAGAGGCAAAATATCACAGAGGGTAGTTGGTAGGATTAAAGTCATGGCTGCTGCCCTTTAGGTCTGATTTGCCAGTGGTCCACTGTTAGTGTGTTGTCACTGTTTCAGTACTAGAAGGTAATCCAAGCCCCCAAGTTTGTCTGCAAAAAACTGTTGTTGCATTGTTCATAAAGAACCTGGAGAATACCTAGAAGGAGGATACTTGGAGAATACCTATAAGCTTCTCCCTGAAGTGAGTGGAATTGTTTCTTCTGTACAATGGAGAGGCAGTAGAGCTTCATGCATGCAAGCTCTGGATCCAAATATAGCTGAGTTTAAACTCAACTTGTGGGGCCTTAACACCTCTAGTCTCAGTTTTGGTGTTTTTTTTTTAAAGTATTTATCTTTTTTGAAACAGGGTCTCACTATGTAGTCCAGGCTATCCTCAAACTCATGGCAATCCTCCTGCCTCAGCCTCCCAAGTGCTAGAATTACAGCCACTACCCCCAGCTAGCCTCAGTTTCTTCACTTACAAAGCAATGGCAGTGAGAGAACACATCAAAAATGCTTATCTTGGGCTGGGGATTTAGCTCAGTGGTTTCGCCGCCTGCTGCGCAAGCACAAGGACCCGAGTTCAATCCCCAGTACCAAAAAAAAAAAAAAAATGCTTATCTTAGGGCCAGGGATTTAGCTCAGTGGTTCCAGCTCCTTCCAAGCAAGTGCAAGGTCCCAAGTTTGATGCCCGGTACCAAAAAAAAAAAATGCTTATCTTGCCAAGTGTGGTGGCACACACCTGTAATCCTAGCACTTGGAAGGCTGAGGCAGAACGATTGCAGTGAATTCAAGCCCAGCCTGGGCTACGTAGTAATTTTGAGGCCAGCCTGAACTACATAGCAAGACCCTGTCTCAAAAATACCAAAAAAAAAAAAAAATGCTTATCTTGTTACCTGGCACATGCACATGCTTAATGGATGGTATATTGCCATTGAGAATTCCCTTGACATGCACCTGGGCTAGAGGAGGGTCACTTGTTTTAATTTCTGGGATTCTCCCTTCTTTGGGCCTGGCTGTCAGGAAAGCTGGGTCACAGGCATGACATTACCCTTCCCTCTTTCCCCAGATGAGAAGAATGGGATTCCCAACAGCCCCCAGAAAGCAGCCCTGACTCTGGATCTTGACCTTGAGAAGGAGCCAGAGCCTGAGCCAGATGAGCCTCAGAAGCCAGAAAAACCTTCAGTCTTCATTGTCTTCCAGAAGGTTTGGCTGGGACATAGCTCCCAACCACCATCCCTGGGAGGAAGGGAAGAACACCCTGTCCTGCCTTCACCAGAGACTCTTAGAGTAGAATGATGCCTTAGTATTCTTTTGTTCACCCAAGGTCACAGGGTCATGGTAGGACAGGGACACAGCTGGCCAGGCCCAAGTGTCCTGCCACTGGGCAGGGCTGAGATGAGAGGGTCAGGCTATGTACTGGGCCCAGGGCTGCCCTGCCTGCTCACACCCCTGCCTCCGGCTCCCAGATCTGGCTGATGGCGCTGTGCCTTGTGTTGGTCTTCACAGTCACCCTGTCGGTCTTCCCTGCCATCACAGCCATGGTGACCAGCTCCACCGGCCCGGGGAAGTGGAGTGAGTGTTGGGATGCCAAAAAGGATAGGGGGAGCGGAGGGGATAGAGGGAAGAGGGGAGTCAGGGGCCAGGTGAATTGCCAGCCCTGTCTGTCCACCCAGGTCAGTTCTTCAACCCTATCTGCTGCTTTCTGCTCTTCAACATCATGGACTGGCTGGGCCGGAGCCTGACTTCCTACTTCCTATGGGTGAGCACACTGGGCTGGGTGAACCATAGTTTTAGGAAGCAGTTGGGGACCAGAGGGCATAAAATTACATAGAAAGATGACTGTAGCACGCCAGATGGTCTGGCAATGGAACGTCCCACTGAGTGGCAGTGAGTACCTGGCCCCTGGGGCATGCAGTACCAGCTCCTCAGCAGCAGAAGCCACGTCCAGATGACCTCTGTGTCCCCAGCATCCAGCCCAGGGCCCAGCTCTTGTGCTCCAAGAATGTTACAAGGCAGTTCCTGCACCCAGAGAAGTGTTGGGCAAGAATTTTGGTTTTTGTATTGCTTTTAGGGAAAGGGTTGTTTCTTTACATGCGACCTCCCGAGGAGACATAGTAAATGCAGAAGACCAGAGTGGAGCTGCTCTGATGGGGGGACAGTGCTGGATCTCCAGCTTCCCACCCTGTTCAGAACCCCATTCCAAGAGAGGTCAGTAGTCAAGTACTAAGTTAGAGCTGGATAGAAGAAATATGCCTAGGGTACTGTGCAATATACAGTATTGTAAAATAGCACAGAAGGGTTACTATAGATAACAATGCTGTAGCGTATGTTTCATAAAAGCCAGCAAACAAGATTTTGAATATTTTTATCACAAAGAAATGATATATGTTTGAGGAGCTAGAGATTATTACACTGATTTGAACACTATACAATGTATGCATATATCAAAACATCATATGGTATCACAAATATGTGATTTTATTTTATTTTATTTTTTTAATATTAGAGTTTATTGGGCCAGGGATTTAGCTCAGTGGTTCCGCCGCCTGCCTTGCAAGCGCAAGGGACCCGAGTTCAATCCCCAGCACTAAAAAAAAAAAAAAAAAAAAAAAGAGAGTTTATTTTAGTTGACTTAAGATTTTTGTTTTGTTTTGTTTTGGGTACTAGGAATTGAATTCAGGACCTTGCGCTTGTCAGGCAGGCGCAGCGCCACTGAGCTAAATTCCTGGCCCAGTGTGCAGTTTTAAATATATCAAACATTATAATTAAAGGAAAAGGAACCCTAGCTGCTCCAAAGGGTTCTGTGGAATCCCAAGGAGTCCTCTGGGAAACCAAGTTTCCCAGAAAACTATGAACTCTGTCTAAGGCCCTGGCCAGTTCTGTGATGGAGAAAGCACAAGCTAGATATTGGGAGAGGCCGTGGTGTGCTCCAGGGTGTTGCTGAGTGGCCTTGGCGCAGGCCCTTGTTTCCCAGAGGCCCCAGCGCTGGATCCTCACTGGCTCATGGATAGGGCAGAGGAGATTGGGGGTGATTGATGGGTCTGTCCTGTAAGTGTTCAGAGTGCCCCTGGAACAGACACCTGGCCCCAGGGACCACTTACCTGAGCTTCTGCCACAGCCAGATGAGGATAGCCGACTGCTGCCCCTGCTGGTTTGCCTGCGATTCCTGTTCGTGCCACTCTTCATGCTGTGCCATGTGCCTGAGCGGGCTCGGCTACCCATCCTCTTCCGGCAGGATGCCTACTTCATCACGTTCATGCTGCTATTTGCCATCTCCAATGGCTACCTGGTGTCCCTCACCATGTGCCTGGCACCCAGGTCTGGGGGACCACTGGGGTGCATGTTGGGGCTAGGGAGGGGGCTGACTTTTGGAAAATGGACAGTTGCAAGGAAGGGAGCTAGCCATTCTGCCCTGGCCAGCCCAGCTGGCTGTGTCCAGGCCTTGCTGGGTCTGAGCTGGCTGCAAGCCTGGAGCTATGGAGATACCTGCCTAAGTACCCAGGCACTGGTTCTGGGACCTCCTCCATAGGCCTCAGTCTCCCCATCAGTAAATAAATGAGTTAGACTGTCATCCCTTAGAGCCCATCTAGCTCCAAAATTCTATGTTGAAGGGGAACTGGTTTTGATCAAAAACAAGGTTTATGGATTGTTTCCTCCAGAAGCAATGGAGTTGAGAATCTCAGGAGACAAAAGGTAACATGAAGGGCCAGTTTAGGGACATTTTGTCAAGAAGGAAGGCAATGGAATCTAAAATTCTACAGACCCCAAAGGTCCTGAGAGATGTCCTTGTCCTGTGGCCTCATTTTACAGGTGGGTAAACTGAAGCCCAGAAAAGGGCCAGATTACAGTGACTCAGGGATAGGCTGAGGGCCTTGGGGCTGTGCCAGATTTGAGCCTAGTGTTTTCTAAGAGCTCCTACTTCTGTGTGTTCCAGGCAGGTGCTGCCACATGAGAGGGAGGTGGCCGGTGCCCTCATGACCTTCTTCCTGGCCCTGGGACTTTCCTGTGGAGCCTCCCTCTCCTTCCTTTTCAAGGCACTGCTCTGAAGGGGCCATCAGGGATCCAGGCAGCCTTCTTCTCAGGGCCCTTCTGGAACTGAGTCTGAGCCAGACGCAAGAGAAAGGACAAGCTGGGCTCCGGCCTCTGCTGAGCCTGGGCACTTGATCTGCAGGTGGCCAGAACTCACCATTTCCTGCTGGTGGCCACTTGGGTTATGCAAGAAACATCCCACCACTGCACATCCTACCCCTCACCCAGGGATGGGCTAGGGTACACAGGAACAGACTTCACCAAAGGGGGTGATCAGAGAAAAGGGCACAGGGCCAGGGGCCTTCCTGCCATGGGACTGCACCTGTTCATCAACAAGCCACTTGCTGACCCTAGGGAGCAGAGCTACATACCAGAGGGTCTGCTGGGGGTGCAGCTGATATGGCCTCTACCTCTACTGTGAGAGGGAGGTGGGGCCTGGGCCAGAGCTACCCCCACCCAATCCCCAGTGACGCCATGGTCACATCCTCCCCACCAAAAGCATAGAGTTCCAGGGAAGATGAGGGCAGGGGAGGTGTTGAGGATCTGAGGGTGCTCAAAGGACCGGGCTCTGAGACTCAAAACAGTGTTTTTATGGCCAACACTCCTGTCTTCATTCCCCAGAGCCCAGCTGGGCCTGGTTCCCAGAATGACAGCCTGCATGTGTAGGCTGCACTTTACAGTTTGCAAAGGTTCTCTGCACCCCTCCCTCACCAAGCCTTACTGAGGCTCTTGGAAGAAGCTGGGCAGGGATTGTCTCCCCATTGCACGGGTGGGGAAAGTGAGTCCCAGGAGGAGTGAGTGGTCCATGGTAGGGCAGGGACAGCAGCCCCATCTCCCCACACCCTGGGTGCTATTATTCTTCCTCCATCACCTGCTTCTTTTCCTTAAGGGGCTCAGGACAGGAGCCCTAAACATATATTCCACCTTCTCACCCCAATTTTCCCTCTGACCCTGCTCCTAGGCCTAATTATAGCTGGTTTGTTTGTATGATGCATTCAGTGTCTTTCTTTCCAAAGTGCTGCTAGCTCAGTTGGCTTCAGCAAGCTGGGTGGGGTGGGGGTAAAGCAAGACAATGACCATAGTAGTTGAAATAATACAGAGGGCAGACCTCCCAGGGAGGGTTCATTCCTTGGTCCACTGTTTACAGATACCTGCCCTGGGCCAGGCCCTGGCTGGCTTGGAAACCCTGAAAAAGGAGCTGTCCCTGTTTCCAAAGCCACAGGAAGAGTGTAATGTGTGCAGGGGCATGTGAGGGCCTCCAGAAGTCTGTAACACAGAGTCCAGAAGAGGGCGCTGCTAACCTTACCTGGAGGGCCAGGCAGGCAATCTGGAGGTGGCTTTTCCCAGCTGGTCCTTGAGGGAGGAAATGAGTTCTCCTGCTGAGATGGAGGAGGGACGCCCCCATTGGAGATGCCAGAGAATGTGCAAGGCACAAACATGGAATATCCAATGGGGACTTCTGCAGGGGTCCCTAGGGGATGAGGGAGGAGTAGGAGAGGATGAGTTGAGTGCACTGGTTGGGGTCACGTGATGGAGGGTCTCATGTGCAGGATCAAAGGGCCTGACTTCATCCTGCAGCAATGGAGCCCCCTGAGCTGGAATGACATGGTCAGATCTGTGCTTTACAAGGATTCTCCGGCTGCATGGGCCAGAAGCAGAGAGCCCAGGGCCAGGTCAATTCCAGCAGGCAGAGGGAAGTGGGTACAAGAGATATGAGGCCTTGTTAAATTCAGACAGGCTGGTCCAGAGTCCTAGGTTCCAGACCTTTACTTCTTAGCAGTGGGGACCTGGGACCTACCTAAGTGTGGAGTACTAGAAGGAAGTCAGAGCTAGAGCTCAGACACAATCCTGGACAAAACAAAAGCTGGAGTCCCAGGACTTTCTTACAAAGACTTCTAGACTCGGTTGGACTCTCTGATTGGAACTGGGGAGACAAGACCAACATTCTACATGCCCTTTTCCTCCACCTTTGAGACAATTGTTTGTTGCACCACCCCCCGAAAGCTCTTAGACCTTCCAGACCAACTCAGGGCTAGGAAGGCAGACCCGGCAGTCCCAGGAAACCCACTGGGCTCACTTGTTACCTGGATGAAGCTTAGGGTGAGCTGAGTAGTGGAGGATGGGACCCAAAAAGGGACATTCAACCTGCAGGTGTCCTTCTGATGCTGGAACTTAGAATTACATCTTGCCACCTCCTTTGCTGAAGATCCATCCCAACCTTCCCATTAGATCAGCATACAGCTGGCTTTTGTAACAGGAACAAATACTTGGACTGATGGGCTATACCTGCCATCCCTCTCCTATGCCCACTCCCCAGCTATTGCCACCTTCCCAGTCCTGACACCTCTCTGCCACCAGGTCCAGACTCTCTTAAATGCAGCTTCCATCAGTAAACCCTTGGAGGAGGCTCCTTGGAGAGGATTGAGCTAGCCTCAGCGGAGGGACAGAAATCTGAAGCCCAGTCTTTATGCTAGAGTTACTGACCCTTTTATGAGAAGGAAACTAGTTACCACTGGTAGGGGGAGGTAATGGGAGATTGAACTCAAGACCTTTGCCCTGAGCTACATTTCCAGCCCTAAAAAGGGGGTCTCAGAAAGTCATTAAATTGACCAGTCTGGGCTGAAACTTGCAATCCTCCTGCCTCAACTTCCCATAATGTTGGGATTATAGGCATGTGCCACCATGTCCAGCTGGTTACATTTCTTCTATGTAAGAAGCATTTCAGCCAGATATGGTGATGCATGCCTATAATCCCAGCACTTTAGAAGCTGAAGCAGGAGGATGGTGCAAGTTTGAGGCCAGCCTGGGCTACACAGGAAGACCCTGTCTCAAAAAAAAGGAGAAGGCTTGGGGATTTAGCTCAGTGGTTCTGCCACCTGCCTCGAATGCGCAAGGACCTGAGTTCAATCCCCAGTACAAAAAAAGAGGAGGAGGAGGAGGAGGAGCACCATTTGACATTATGATCTTCTGCTTCCCCATCCATGTGCCACAGCTCTGGTCCTACACATTGCCCAGCAACCCTTTCCACTTTTGCCTCACTCCCAGCTTTGGATAGGAATGGCATCTATGTCTGGCCACAGTTGACTGGACCAGGGTTGAGTTTTAAGTCAGAGCAGCCACCCACTGGTTGGCCACCAGCCTATGAGGTGGCCTGGTCCAGCTTCCCTGGGAAGAAGAACCAATCAGCTCATCTCTCTTAGGAGACATGGGGGGGATTGGTACATCCTCTGAGGCCAATGTACATTAGAAGGAACAGGTCTTAGGAGGGTCACTGGCATGACAAAATGAGATGTTGCTTTGTGGTCACTGGAGTCGCCGTACTATTCTAGATGGAGCCACATAGCATGCTTGTTTGCTTTCTTGCTTTTTTTCCTCAGGACTTCTTGACAAAACCACATTTGGTTAAGGTTACCTGGCTGGACTCTCCTTTTCCTCACAGCCCTAAAAGACTTTGTCAGTAGAAGCCCTGGACACTAACATCCCCATTTTACAGATGAGTAAACTGAGGTTCCACATGGCTATAAGTAGTGATACAGAAAGTTCCAAGGCCCCTTCCCTTCAAAGAAACACTCAAAAGATGAGCAAGAGCTGTTAGAACCAACTTCATTGGAACCCAGCTAAAAATTAATCCAAGCTTACAACAGCAAGTGAATGCTGTAAAGAGGGAACTAAAATAATAGGAGAGTTTTGCAGCCTTCTGAGGGTTTTGGTGGCTGTGAAGATGGCATTCCCAGTGGAGGACCCTTGTCCTCAATTCCAGAGGGAGTGGAGCAGACCTCGTTCTAAAAGAATGGTACTTAAGGGCCGGGGATTTAGCTCAATGGTTCCGGTGCCTGCCTTGCAAGTACAAGGTCCCGAGTTTGATCCTTGGTACAAAAAAAAAAAAACCATGCAAATAAAAGAATGGTACTTAGCTGTTTGGGGCCTGTCCAGGGGCTACATGAAGGACTGATACCAGGCACTCAAAAAATCCCAGGATGAAAAAAAACAAAAGGCAGACTCAGGATGGAGCCCAGCACAGTGGTGCATCCCTGTAATCCCGGCATTCTTGGAGGCTGAGATAAGAGCTTGCAAGTTCAGTTCAAGCCCATCCTGGGCAACTTAGTGACTTAGCAAGACTCTGTATCAAAATAAAATATAAAAAGGACTGGAGATGTAGCTTAGTGTAAAAGCCCTGGGTTCAATCCCCAGTATCACAACAAAATCAATCAATCACAAGATAGAGGACCGGGGATGTTGCTCAGTGGCAAAGCATCTGCCTGGCAAGCATGAGGCCCTGAATTTGATCCCTGGTAATAAATAAATAAATAAATAAATAAATAAATAAATAAATAAATAAAAATTTCGTTTTCAGGATAGAAAGCCTCTATTCAGATGGAGAGCACTTCTCCCAAACATTAAAGGAAAATTGGGGCCGGGGATTTAGCTCAATGGTTTCGCCGCCTGCTGTGCAAGGCCAAGGACCCGAGTTCGATCCCCGGTACCAAAAAAAAACTAAAACATTAAAGGAAAATTAACAACCTGTGCTGTCTGGAGAAAAGATTATAGATGAAGCAAACAACAGACACACTGAAAAGTCTAGGGGGAAAAGCTGGTGAAAGATTTTTTTAAGGAAATGAAAAGCTCCCTCAAATTTCAGAGAATTTGGGCTGGGCATGGTGGCACACGCCTGTAATTCTAGCACTTGGGAGGCTGAGGTAGGAAGATCACTGTGAGTTTGAGGTCATCCTGAACTACATAGTGAGACCCTGTCTCAAAAAAAAAAAATTCATGGAATTTAGAAAGTCATGATATACACAATGGAGTACTATTCAGCCATAAAGAAGGAATATTTAAGTCATCTATAGGAAAATGAATGCACTATGAGACCATAATGCTAAGCTAAATAACTCAGACATAGAAAGTTAAAGATTCCATAGCTTCTCTTATATGAGGAAACCCAAAGTATAAGTAATTTAAAGAGCAAAATAAATGTTAGGAAAAGGAGCTATAACCTTTTGCAGATGGGAAGGAAATCCAGGGATGGAGGGAGAGGAAAGGGAGGAGAGGAGAAGGAGAAATAAAACTGTCTAAGATTAGATCAATTCCCCATGATGAATGTATCCATTATGTACCACCAACATGTACCACCAATAAAAAGTCATATGAATGCATGGCAAGATGCATGTTCACAAGAGACCTGAGAAGACCCTAAGCTTTCTGATCTTTAGGACCACACAGGTGGGAAATGAGAGATAAGGTAGAGTTGTAAACAGCTAAGCTACATGGGGTTTTTGTTTGTTTGTTTGGGGTTTTTTAGTACCGGGGATCAAACTTGGGTCCTTGCGCTTATAGGGCAGGCAGTGGAACCACTGAGCTAAATCCCCAGCCCAAAGCTACATGTTGAAGGAGAGCTCCAACAGAGAGAAGGCTTCAGGGCAAGGGCTCTGCCACTGAGCTACCTCTCCAGCCCTGAGAAAGCTGCAAAGACTGGAAGAATTTTTCTTTTCATTCTTTTTTTCTTTTCCTGTTTGAGTTCTAGGTGTTCAAAGGAATCTGTCAAAACACTGAGTGACCACCATCAAAAGAAACAGAAACTTCAGAGACCATACATGACAAAGAATTTACAGCTATAGATTTTTTTGTTCCGTTGATTTGGGATTTTTTTGAGACAGGGTCTTGCTATGTAGTCCAGGCTATTCACAGTGATTCTCCTGCCTCCCTCTTCCAAGTGGTAGGACTACAGGCATGTACCACCATCCCCAGCTTACAGCTATAGGTTTTGAAAGTCACTAAGCAAATATCTATAGCTTATATAAACAATAAAAGGAACCCTAAGGAGAGGTAAGAATTTGATTTCCTGTGTTACCTATTATTAATATTCAAAATGTCCAGTTTTGAACAAAAAATTATGAAGCATGGATAGAAACTAGAAAGTATGCCCCTTTCCCAAAAGAAATTATCAGAAATTGTCTCTGAGGAAGCAAAGGCATTGGAGTCACTACACAATGAC